CCTTCCTTTGTGATGATCAGACAAAGCATCTGAAGTCATCTCAGGCTACATAAGTGTGGGTCAAAGAAAAGCCAGCTAATTGAGTTGGTTCAATTGGCTTCTGATATTTAGTTCCAGTTCCTGTCCTTATGTTATGGGAGATTCTTTCTCATTGGTATTAGGGGTGTGTTGTACACAGTGAGTGTGCTCTAAAGAAGAGCTTCTTAAACTGTCCCGATCCCAAATTGGGTCCTCTTATGGATGGACACAAGACCTGATAAAGAAACCACCTGGCAATGGAAGAGGAGAAAGGGGAGAGGAGGTGGGATTAGGAAAGTCAAAGTGGTATGTCAATTTAAATATACAACTAATTAAAACAATCAATATCAATAAAAAACATATATCAATTTGAGTCTCCAGTCAGTTTGAGTTACCCAGTCAGTTGTCACCTATCCTATATCTGTACATCTGATTTTAATGCCTAAGTATAATACATTACTGTTGAAATTCATCTTCTAGTTTTGACCCAACTCTTTAATCTGTTAGTCATTTTGAATTCTGATACTGCCCTATGCGGTATTCACACTTAATGTGATGAATGAAATTGTTTCATTTTTGTACTTAAAATTGTTTTGAAATTGGGCTTTATGTCGGACAGATAAATAGGTAAACTCAGGACAGAATCCATCTACCTCCCAAATTTGTATTTGGAATAAGCATAAGCTGAAAAATCGTACCAATAGGTCAACACAAAGGGGAGCAGAACTTTCCCAACTACTGACATGTATATGTCTATCGGTTCTACACAAAAGTCATTTACTGCACAGATTCAAATTTTGTTTTTAAAGCAGAGCTGTATTAAATTTCAATAAGATTTTCATACTCTGGCATGGACAACATGTGATGTTTATTTCTGTTGACAAACGGGTTTTCCACCCACTTGATGTCCCTGCTGGTGTCTGGGAAGTACTTCGGCAGGGATTTCACAAGGTTCATCAAGTGCTCACATTTTATTATTATTTTTTTGTGCACTTGAGCTTCAATTTCCAACTCATTTTTGCTCAAAAACTGAGCCAGGAGAGGAATCATTAGAAGTTTTTAAAATTACACATTTGATCCAAAGGTTCAGTCTGGTTTTCAGTGTTGTTAGTTTATCTATCAATGTGAACATGGTTATATCTTCCCACTGCAAAGATGTAGTAACTTCATTATGTTTGTCAGATATGTTGGCAAGGTAAGCAAACTGTATGAGTCACTTCTCATGTAAAAAAAATGGTGTACTTCCTAGGCGTGGAAAGGCTCCTTTGAAGAAAACCAGAAGCTCATTGCACAGCTCAAAAAGCCTGGTCGGGAATTTGCCTCTTTGGGAGCCAGCTATGTGAATGAAGAGCGATTTATGTTGACTTCCCATTTCTTCCCAGGAGCTCCCGGTGGCGCAGTGGGTTAAACCCCTGTGCCGGCAGGACTGAAAACTGACAGGTCGCAGGTTTGAATACGGGGAGAGGCGGATGAGCTCCCTCTATCAGCTCCAGCTCCTTATGCGGGGACATGAGAGAAGCCTCCCACAAGGATGATAAAAATATCAAATCAGCCGGGTGTCCCCTGGGCAACTTCCTTGCAGACGGCCAATTCTCTCATACCAGAAGTGACTTGCAGTTTCTCAAGTCACTCCTGACACGATAAAAAAAATACTTCCCAAGTATTTGCAATTAGTCTTGACTGGTACAAGAAAGACTTTACATAATTGACTACTTTTACAATGACTACTGATACAATTTGGTGCTACATTTTTTATTTCTTTATACTATCCTGTCAATTTCCCCACCACCACATGTCCTCCATTGGTCTCCAAAGGTGTTATATAAACACATTTTCTTTTATAGATGCTTCAAACAGATACCTCACAAAAACAACCAACATTCCAAGTTTGGTGACTTCTGTACTCTCGTCCAATAGCATTGAATACATTTTTTTACATTTTTTTCGCTTTTTAAAATAATTTATGAACACAGTTAGAACATTTGTCTGCTGAAACCTTTTTGCCACCTCCTCTCCAAGCACACAATTTACTATTTCACACACATTTGATGAGATCCTCTGCAATTGTGTGTGATTTTCCTGTACAAATAATTCTGTATCTTAAGAGAAAGGATTCTTCATTTGTGGTTTCATTATTGGTTTTGCATATTTCTGTAAGCAATTTACAGTAGCATCTTGGACTTCCCTGTCATTTTTGAAAAAAACTGATATTCTTTCCTTTTGGGTGCAGGTGGTTTATTTCCAGGTATTGTTTAAGCTTATTAGGCAGTAAGGAATGATTTTTGTTGCAAATGATGCATTGCCTGTGTTCTGCACTTGCAATAGGAATAAATCTTAAAGATAGATAAGATCCATCTTATTTTCTTTTTGAAGAAGATGTAAAGCCTTCGCTTTCGATCCTGTCACTAGCTGGTATGTTTGCTTCTTGACCACCCGCACAGGGGTTTTCTTCTATTGCAGTTGTGCCCTAAAATGAAAAAAAAGTAATGAAACAGAGAAGTCAGACTTTAGGCTAACTCAATATGTGCACAGAAAAAAAATATTCTAATGTCATTGATTTTTTTTAACTTCCCAAACTGCAGTAACAAGCATCTTCTTTAATTTAATCAGGACCTGATGGTAGTGTCTCAAAAGAGCAAAACTAGAAGCTGCACCATATTTTTGGCATCTGAAAGGTCTTGAGTCCATTATTCATGGTGTTGGTAGCTTCCTCCAATGTGTAGCCAGTAACTACATACCTTATAGCAATAGTTGTTGCACAAAATATCTATTATGAAGACTGTTACGAGGGGTTGTCTGTATAGCGTCAGCGTTTTCAGACTGTAAATTACAGTTACAGCATCAGTGAACCATCAGCACAAATTGTGTTTGAAAAGATGCATACAGGAGTGAATGTGAGATTTGCTGGAACTTAACTGGTATGCAAGTATTTATATCACAAAGAAGCTTCTGCTCTCGATCCTGCCTGCGTCACAGGCACGGCTGGCGGGGACAAGAGATAGGGCCTTCTCGGTGGTGGCTCCTCGGCTGTGGAATACCCTTCCCGTAGACATCAGGCTAGCTCCCTCCCTGTTGATATTCTGCAGGAAGCTAAAGACCTGGCTGTTTAAGAAGGCATTTGAATAAGAAGTGCAAGGACTGGTAATTTGACCATAGGATTGGAACAACGGAAATGATATCGGATTGTGGGTTTGACGATGGCTTTTGTAGTAATGTTGATGTTTTGATGAGTTGTTTTTTGATAATGATGAATTGTGGATTTTTTACACTATGTCTTGTATTTTGCACCTGTTTTTCTATGTTGTACACAGCAATGAGTCGCCCTTGGGCTGAGAATTGCGGTATATAAGCGTAGTAAATAAATAAAATAATAAATAAATGTTGCTAGAAAGCTCCATGTGCTTTCCCTGGTGAGGTCACGTGGACCTGAGATGGCAGACTGTGATAAAATGACTTCCAAATGTGGCCTTGTGTGGTTTATTTTAAAATGCATTTTAAATGTGATTTGTAAGATTTTTTGTAGCACCCCTACAGTTCTTTCTTGGACCCCTAGGTTGGTTTCATGTTTTTGGTGTAATGTCGTTATTTTGTCGTTTAGTGCCACATGCTAAACTACAAAATAGGTACTGCTTCTTCAGGAACGTAACGGCACTCCATGCAGTCATACCAGTCACATGGTAAAGGTTTTCCCTTGACACTAAGTCCAGTCGTGTCCAACTCTGGGTGGTGGTGCTCATCTCCATTTCTAAGCCAAAGAGCCAGCATTGTCCTTAGACACCTCCGAGGTCATGCAGCCAACATGACTGCATGGAGCGCCATTACCTTCCTACAGAAGCGGTACCTATTTATTCACAATTGCATGTTTTCAAATTGCTGGGTTGGGAGAAGCTGGGGCTAACAGTGGGAGCTCACCCTGCTCCTCAGATTTGAACCACCAACCTTTCTGTCAGCAAGTTCAGAAGCTCAGTGGTTTAAACCACTGTACCACCGGGGGCTCATGTTTTCATGTTTTTGGTTTAATGTGATAATTTTGTAGTTTAGTGCTGTGTTCTATACTGTACAGCAAATAATTTCAATTGCAGTAGAGGAGACTATTTCAACAAGGCATCTTTGCAGCAATTGGGTTGATCAAGTCATATATAAAGCCAAATTTTCAGTTGTGCAATCACACCGTGCAATTAGAGCAGTTCAATGCCACTTTCACAACCATGGCTCCATCCTGTAGAATTCAAGGATCTGTCATTTTATGAGATACTTAGACTTCTGTCTTAGAGATTTAACACTAATTCAGGGGATTGTATTTAGAACCATCACAGCTAAAACCGTGCAATATGGATACAGTCATGAGGAAGAAGATTCCTCTTCAGAATGAAGTTGGTAATTCCAAAGAATACCAAATGGATAGCGAAAATGGTTACTCTCTTTGCTTGCTATCCAGACAGAAATCTCATACAATGCTTCACAAAGTGAACCAGTACCAGCCGATAAGTCATTGACAACCTGGAGGGTTTTTAGGAAGGAAAGAAATGGTAGAAGCTAATTCATATTAATATTATACTGGTTTTGAACACAGAAGGGGTGGGGAGAGGGGATTCCTAACCTCCACATCATATAGCCTGATTAATACTGATCAGATTAAATCAACTGCTTTGTGTTTGGGTTGCTGTGCAGGCATCCATAGGGCAAATGTCAGGAGAGAATGCTTCTGGAACATGACTATACAGCCCCAAAAACTCACAGCAACCCAGTGATTCCAGTCATGGAAGACTTTGACAACACGTTGCTTTTTGTTTCTTATTTTTATTACTTCGAGTAGATGGTTACGTTTTATGTAATGTATCCGTTTTCTCCAACCAGTACTGTAGTTGATCATTCACTATCAAATTTGCAATAGTGATTACTATATTATGGACATTATCATCAATAATTTTTAATATTACCAAATGAAGGGACTAAAATAGATTTTCTTTTTTAAACTTCAGGCTTGTTCTGGCTGCGGAAAATGTGACTGCAGTGGAGTCAAAGGACAAAAAGTAAGTACACTATTCAATGACCTTAATCTTTACTTTCCGCCAGTGTTGTCAATTTTGCTAAAATTATTGGGACAAAATTATGTCTCCGATTTGAGTGAACCCCACGTTCCAGCTGAGGCAGAGCTTCTTCAAAGTGAACGACATTGAAATGTGAACACTCCTGAAGATTAAGTTGCAGTTTGGATTTAGAGGGAGGGCATCTTATGAACTGACAACCTTTCTTTCCATGTAAGGAAAGCAGCGGGGAAACGGGGAGGGAGAAGAGATGTGATTTATTGAATAGAAGCTTCAGCTTCCAATAACAAGAAATGGTTTTCTCAAGCCTCAGCTATCTCAGTGCTTTACACAGTGTTTACTATTTCTCTCTCACGGAGAGTATATTGGCTGTGGGAAGCTTTGCTGTTTCTTGCTTGCCTAAAAACTGAAGGATATTCAAGTCCTTCCATCTCTTCCTCTGTGTGTTGCACAACCCGTGGTCATCCATTTACCCTTGCATTTTTATGACACTATAAAAAACCAAGCAAAGAGCAAAAATGTGACCATTCATTCATTAAAAAATGAATAAATTGGGACCCTGCTTTACCTTTCTGAACATATCCAAGCTTCTTGACTATGTAAACCTAAATGACAGGTGCTGTTTTGATACATATGATACACACACACTCAACTTTTAATTTTAACATCCTCTTCTACAAATGCACTGCATAATTCTGAATTTTGCATGCTCTTGTCTCTTTTCTGACATTTAATAATGACCCGCAAATATCTGTAAACTTCACCCAGTTGAGCTAAGATTTCTTTAAAGTAAAAATAAAACAATCTAAAAGTGCATAGCACAGCTCCTGATGTAACTATTTGTGTAATATTTGACTGGCACATTATATTTACTATCTACTATATTTGCAAATTCAACACATTTCTGACAAAACTTCTCTTGATTTTTAATTATAGTAATTGTAAAGATGTAAACTCAGATTTGGACTTGGACATGAATGGCCTTTAAATCAGCTGATTTGAGGTTGAAACTATATCTTGTGATCCGGCCCCTAGGCAAGGGAGCAGTTTAGGAGTCCAAACCACCCCCAATTATTTTCAGGTAAAAAAAACCAACCAGGTCTACTCCTGAATTTTAACTGGTTAACCAAATCCCCATGCCAAGTATATGAGAAGCTACAATTACTTTGAAACATAGGTTCTTTTTATTGTAATTTCCAGTGTGAGAGGGTATATCAGATTACAGAAAACATTTAGACAAAGAATGACATTGGACATACAGACATACAGATTCTATGCAACTACATTGGATTTACAATTACATTGGTTAACAAACAAACGAAGGGGAATTACATTTTCACTCAACATTCACACACATGTTCACGCATTCATCCACATGCATCCAAATATTACCATATCATTTTCTCCCTCCTTGGAGAAGCACCTGTTAGGCCAGATCTTGCTTTCCTGTAGCCTGCCAACATATACTTCCATAACTTCCATAATGCCATAACTTCAAAATGCCGAAATGCCAAAACTTCTTTCCCTAAGAACAATGCCAAGGACCAGACCTCTGTTTTTCACACAGCAGAATCTGACTCCCTGCACAAAATCTAAGACTCCAAAAGCACACTTCTTCCTCTTCCCTTGAGAAAGAAGCCCCAAAGTGTCCAGAATACACCATCTCTCTCCTTTCCATGGAGTAGAGCATGGCGGATGAACAGTGTCTCTGTCTGTCACAATTTGAGCATTATTAGACTGAGTCTTTTATAGGAATATTCTGTTGATGTAGTCCCAAAGTTGTAAATTAATGATAGACGTCTTCCATCCTGGATCCATTTCAGTTTCCTGGCCAGATGTTGATCCTCTTGATTATGTTGACTTCCTTCTTAACATAAGGAATGTTGCAAACATTTCCTTAACTTGAAGGAACCATTGTCACAGTTCTTATCAATTCTCATTTGCAGGTTTTGATCACAGTTCCAGCAAGCAGGTAGTTAGTCATTGCAGGCCTTAATATTATACTGGTGTTTCCAAAATTATTACCTCCAACCACACATCCTTCAATTCTTCCATTCATTCCCACATATCATATTACATTCATATTTGTCAAATCTGCACATTGAATTTCTTGTGATGCTATCTCAACCCAATTTTGATTATTCACACTAGCTTTCTACCAATTTACATCATAATAGCAGCCATAGCTGACATAGTGGAAGCTTCCAAAAAGTGGTAGCTGGCAAGCAAAGCCTAAAGTGCGGGACCAAGCCGGGGGGTGGGGGGTGGTATTTGACCTGAATTGCAGGTGAAAACTGTGGAAGCTGGGGTGTCTCTACCACTGGTTCAGTTAATCCAAGCTCTGCCAAAGAAACAATGGAGCAGGAGCAAAGCATCTAAGATTTCAACCCAAAAGGCTCAGCAGATTTCCCTGGCTAACCTACTCATTTCATCTACAAGGTGCACTCCGTCTGTACTGTGTGGTGTTTGGAGGAGAAGTTGGGGTTAAAGGTGGTCATCAGGAGCTTGATGAATTGGTTGCCAAACCATTTGTGTGATGGAAAAAAAGGAAACAGAAGTCTTCAATAGACACCAAAAAATAGAGTACCTTCAGAACAACTTGTGCTTGGCTGAAAACTTCTTGCTCATTCACAGTGGAAAATGTCTTGATGATAAAAGGAAATAAGAAAGCAGAAGAAAACAGAAATAAACCCCTGCCAATTGTGGAAATAATTGTCCTTTGTGGCCAACAAGAACTGGCTTAAAGAGGGAGCGATGATTCAGGTCCTGGGAAGAATCTTTGCATAATGATGGTAATTTTAGGGCCTTGTTGAGATCTCATACCAGATCAGAAGACACTGGCCTCAAAAGTCATCTGGGGAAAAACATGACAACCCCTCCCCAAAAAATTTTTTTCTGGGTGCGAGTCTGCTTGTGATCAATGCACGATATAGTGTTTGTGGTCTGATAACACCCCTCATCTGAGACAGATCTGCACACCTAAAAGAGATATTTGAGAGGTAAAACATCTTCCAGCCCTACTGTGATTAAGTTGGATATTTAGCAGTCCTGTCCATCAGTGTTCAAAGTGAGTAATTACAGCTACATATTTCAAAAACAACACACCATTAGTTTATTAAAACAGAAAATAATCTATTTTTCTGCTACACAGAAAAGTCATCACATGTGTTAAATATTTGCAAGTCAGTACAGACTTGCAAATTATTAGCATTTAAAAATTCACTTCTCTACCTATATATTAGGAGCCCTCAGTGGCGCAGTGGGTTAAAGCGCTGAACTGCTGAGTTTGTTGACCGAAAGGTCTCAGGTTCGATTCCAGGGAGTGGTGTGAGCTTCTGCTGTCAGCCCTAGCTTCTGCTAACCTAGCCGTTCGAAAACATGCAAATGTGAGTAGATGAATAGGTACCTCTCCGGTGGGAAGGTAGCAGTGCTCCATGCAGTAATGCCTGCCACATGACTTGGGAGGTGTCAATGGATAAATGCCGGCTCTTTGTCTTAGAAATGGAGATGAGCACCACACCCCAGAGTCAGACATGGCTGGACTTAATGTCAGGGGACAACCTTTACCTTTACCTTACCTGTATATTGTGACTGTAAATATTTACATAGAAGCTTTAAAAGCCAAGCAGATAAATAAATAAATAAATCACGTGTATCTCAAAGTTTTATGCAATTATGCTTGATATTTAGCAGGCTTTCTTAAGAATGGTCAAATTTAAGACTTGAAAAGCTGTTCTACAAGCGCCCTCTTGTGGTGAAATGTGGAGATGCAACTTTGACTAAGGTTCCCTCTTTTCACAAAACAGGGTGTGATATTTTTTGCTGAGCCTTGCCTTTTCTTTTTCAGATTACAATGTTACCCAAGCTAGTACATTTTTAAATAGTGATTCGTTTTTATATTGCAAATTTAAAAAGCACAAAGAGAGATAAAAGAGAAGGATGTAGAATTGACTCAAAGGCCAACCATATAGTGTCTAACCCAGGGGTCCTCAAGCTTTTTAAACAGAGKGCCAGGTCACAGTCCCTTAAACTGTTGGAGGGCTAGATTATAATTTGRAAAAAAAACATGCATGAATTCCTATGCCCACTGCACATATCTTATTTGTAGTACAAAAAAACACTTAAAACAATACAATAATTAAAATGAACAATTTTAACAAATATAAACTTATTTGTATTTCAGTGGGAAGTGTGGGCCTGCTTTTGGCTGATGAGATAGAATTGTTATTGTTGTGTGCTTTCAAGTCATTTCAGACTTAGGTTGACTCGGAGCGAGGGCTGGGTAAATGACCTTGGAGYGCTGTATACRGCTCCCGTGCCTTAGTTTGAGGACCCCTGGTCTAACCCTTCGTTGAAAAAATACTTTAAGATAKTGTCTGGAAGATACATATTTATTTTTAATTTGTAATCTGCTTTGAGTTCTAGATAGTGTTTATGATTTTAAATTGATACTTTATCTTTGAAAATTCTTGGAGAACAGCCCCAGCAGACTGGAGGTGGAGGACAAATAATAATAATAATAATAATAATAATAATAATAATAATAATAATAATTTTATTTTTATACCCCGCCAACCATTTCCCCTAGGGGACTCACCCAAGATTACAATTAAAACACACATGTAAAACACTTTAACCAATTAAAACATCAGATAAAACAAATGACAACACAATTGGAAGCAAATGTTGTCCCTATCTTCAAAAAGGAGGGGGGGAAACCTAACCAGTCAGCCTGACATCAATACCAGGAAAGATTCTGGATTTTATCATTAAGGAGGCAGTCTGTAATTGCTTAGAAAAGAATGCTGTGATCACGAAAAGCCAACAAGGATTTCTCAAAAATAAATTATGCCAAACTAATCTTACCTCTTTTTTCAGTAGGTTACAAGCTTAGTAGATGCAGGGAATGCTATGGAGGTAACCTATTTGGATTTCAGTAAGGCCTTTGATAACATCACCCATGATCTGCTTGGAACCAAACTAGT